GAACACCACAGCTTCCATTACTACATTTAAGTCTTGTTTTTATGTATGGAAGAGTTCTTACATTCTTGTAAAGCCACTAGCACGCATAGGGTTTCCGACAGGTCCTAATTTTCCCTGGAATACGACCCGCCAAATCGTTTAACAACCAGATACCTTTCACTGCTAGGTGAACAGAGGCGTACAGTTAAGGATTGGTGCCTAGTCAATCCTCCCTGGCCAGGATAGGATTGACTAGTCCTCCCAGGTCAAATCGCTCGCCAAGGGCGGGGGCGAGTGTTTTACCACTGCGCCACCTGGAACTGATATAGCTTTCTCTGCCTTCTGCTTCCACTGCTCCATCTACCACTCACATCAGTTCAATTATTTTTAATGCTAATAATACTGTATAATACTGTTAACTCTAATGCTACTTTTACGGCTATAAGACAGCTTGCTTCACTACTACTACACAACGTATCCATCTGTTCGTACCCTGCCACGCTGGAAGCCAGAAATAACATTAAAGTCCATTAAGGCATCTTTCACCCTCCGGTCGGTTGGAGGAAAGTTCCCTGCAACAGGGAAATGTTTTGTAAGTATAAAACAAGTCTGGAGGCTCGCTTCAGTAATGTAATTAAAATCAATACTTTCAAATTTGGCATCCAGACGTTTGATTGTGGTCTATATTGTGATTGAGCCAATACATTCTTAAATAACTAGTTATCCTGCAGGTGTTGCACTCACTTCCTATGCAATTCATACTATTCATTCTCTTTGTCGTTTAGCATTGTACTAATACATTTTTTCCGTGAATGAATCGCATTTTTTTCAAACTGGCAATAGTTTACATTAGCCTATAGTCTAAACGTTTTCACAGAAAGTGGGGTAAATTCCTTGATTCTTGGTTTGGTGTTGGTCTTAACGCTTCTCAGCCTCTGGAGGGTTAATTAGGCTACCACAATTCCTTACTGATCAACCGGAAAGAATATTTCAGTCCAGGACTAACGTAATTGTCCAGGACTAAAGTAATTGTCCAGAACTAAAGTAGACATTGTCCAAGACTAAAGTAATTGTCCAGGACTAAAGTAATCTCTCAGCGAATATATACACCGAGTAGATTGATCAACATTTCAGCGCATATATCCTTCTGTCTTGGAGAAACCCTTCCTTCTTAGGACCTATTTATCTTAGCGACTGAGTTAGTGAAGTTACTCTTTCTTATTTTTCCATATGTCTTTGTTTGTAATTAAGAGACCAGGATTGTACAGCGCTGCAGGGCGCGGTGTGACAAACGGTCTGTAGATTCAGTGTCATTGACAGTGTTTTATGGGATTCTTCTCGAGATATATAGCATTGAAGCCTACCATTATGTTGGCTTCGTTACCGGCGACTAGATGTTGCTTTGTGTTCTTGATGGGGATATTGATGGTTACTTCAAGGTAATTTTCTTATTTTGTATTCGCTGGTGTTTTTGTAAAACATTTTGTTTTTGAAACGAGTTTTTATTTTCTAGATATTTTGGCTTGACACGTTGATCTCCAAGCATTTTATCTTCACACGTGGGTCTCCAAAAAATTTATCTTCACACGTGGGTCTCCAAAAATTTATCTTCAAATCTGGGTCTCGAAACACTTTAACTTCATACTTGGGTCTCCAAACACTTTAAGTTCACACATGGGTCTCCAAAAATGTTATCTTCAAATCTGGGTCTCCAAACACTTTAACTTCACACTTGGGTCTCCAAATATTAATTTTCACGCATGGGTCCAAATGAGAGACTGACAAAATATATGGAGACGCATGGTTCTGGAGGAGCCATGTAAAACTGGAAGAAGGTGTAACTATCGCTCAGGTTTCAGGTGTTAACAATAGTAAACAAACTTGAATCGCTAGTAAAAGTCATTTTTATAAAGCCATATTCAGCTAAGCCAGCTATGTCTTTCTCTTAATCACAACACGCGTTATAAATAACAAATATCAGTAGTTTCAGGGAGGAGAATATTATCACAAAAGGATTACATCAATGCAAGTAATTTGTTAACCCAATATATTTATGATCTTGTACATTGTACAAGACATTGTACCTCACCTCACCTCTTTCCTGCCTATATATCCACACCCACTGAACTCTAAATCCATCCTTCTGAAGATTTATTATTCAATACGAAAGTACTTAATGAAATTCCTGTCCTAATCCTTCCTTCGTGGTCTGACTCTGTCACATTGTTCATCGCGTGGTAATTTTTTCGTGATTTACACACATGAATAATTTCTTCGTGATTTACATTAGGTACATACCCAATCAAAAACAACAACAGCGTGATAAGTGTACAACACCCGGCTACACTCGTGGAGAATGAACGCCGTTAATTCATCAATTCCTTGATCGTGAATTGATCACATTCAAGCCTTAAACGTAATATAATACTCAGTGCGATTCTGTCCCTGATGAACTAATGGTGCCCATTGTCCTCGATTGTAGCGAAGGTGTTATATGCATGTAGGTCTCGTGACCATTCAACACCCATGACATTACGTCGTTGGTTTCAGCTCGTCCGCATAAGGTTCCCCAAAGTCAAGAAAACGGTTAATTTAAAGTGGTCTCTCCTAACCTACCAGAGGACTCAAAACAGAAAACGGGATAGTACGTCATATTCGCGAGTTGCTTCTATTTTCTAATACGATAATTTTTGGCCTTATGTAACGTATACGAGCGAAACGCGACGTTATTTGTAAGAGGACAGTGAGTGAGTATAGCACTGGGCTGTTACCCTGGCGGCCTAAGTTCGAATCCTTGAGGGATCATTGTAGTGTTTGTTGAAAAACTGTTGCTAGGGGGTGGGGGGTCATTCAAGCTTTACACACACACACACACACACACACACACACACACACACACACACACACACACACACACACACACACACACACACACACATACATACATATATATGCGAACAAGCCTGAATGGTCCTCATATATATATATATATATATATATATATATATATATATATATATATATATATATATATATATATATATATATATATGTTATTTCTCTCATTGTGTGAACCTTGCCGGACTCAGAGTGGCCGCACTCAGAATGGTCGCACTCAGAGTGGCCACACTCAGAATGGTCGCACTCAGAGTGGTCGCACTCAGAGTGGCCGCAATCAGAATGGTCGCACTCAGAGTGGCCACACTCAGAGTGGCCACACTCAGAGTGGTCGCACTCTCCGTGGAGTTTCATAAGAGCTGAGATCACGTGACACTCCAGGGACACAGCAACATCTGTCTCCCTCTCGCATACCGCCCTCTTAATCTCACATGTCATGACGTCTTCTACTTTCTCGCACTTTCTTGAACCGATCTCCTTGATTCTTCGATCCATCCTCGCTGCGTCCTCGTACCGTCGTCGTACCGTCAAGAAGCTACGGACACTCGAGGGAGACAGT